AAGGACCGTTCCGTTCTCCTGTGCGCGCACAACTGAGGAAGAATATTTTTAGATTTTCCTCCCTCCCCTCCCCTCCTCTCCCCTCCTCCCGCCCAGCCATCCTTCGTGTCGTGTGTGTTTTTACCCGTGCACGCGGTAAAATCGCGTCGCAGCCATGAAATAATTACGTCGCGCAGCTCGCAACCAGCTTTGGAAGAGCATTTTCGACAAAGGGGGGATCCTCCTTTCATCGGGAACTGTGTTCTTCGCTTATTATTAAACGGCGGCAGGCAAGAAGGTAAAAATAAATTCCACGTTTACGGGCTCGCATTTAAAAACTGGGACAAACTTAGGAGGAGGGACGAAATATCTGTCTGTCGTCTAAAGAGATCGCTATTTGTAATATATATATATGTGTGTGTATATGTACTCGTTCTTCTTCGTCAAATCTCGAGATTACGATTCTCTGCTACTCTTCTTTTTCCTTAATCGATGTTCTCCAGAATACTCGTTCTGGATCTCTATTCGCTTAAGCGAAGGAAGGAATTTTCGAACGTCAACCTCTTGCACGTATACACACATCGCACGCGCATATACATACACACACAGAGTCGGATAAAGGGTATATTAAAGTATTATTTATGTAACAGGCTCCCAACCTGTTAAAGCAATCATTACCGGTTTTTACGTAATGCGACGCCGGCTGTTTTGTAATTACGTTATACGGACGCGCGCGAAACTCTCGATTCGTCCTCGCGAAAATCGTTTCTAGGGACGAATCTCGTCTATTTATACGGTGGGCCGTATATGCGCGTTCCACCTTCTCGTTACGCAAACGAGAGAACTCCGATAATAACAGGGAACAGGTCGATGTAAGTCGGGCGATTCGCCGGGCGGAGAAAATAGATGATCAAAGGATGATCGTTGTTTCAGCGTGATACGACTACGTGATAGTGCCTCGTTTCGAATAATAATTGCTTTTCATCCGAGAGACCGATCGAGAGTATTTTTTTTTTTTTAGAAATTAATTCCAATTTCCACGAACGCCTCTCTGATATCCTATAGAAGTTGAAGAAGGAGGAAGAAAGAAAAAAAGAAGAAGAAGAAAAGGGGGGGTAAAGAAAATATAATTCAATGGTTTTTTTTTCTTCCTTCCTCTTACGAATAATTCTTAAAACTCTTCTCGTTAAGCTTCTCTCTCTCTCTCTCTCTCTCGGTCGCTCGATTGCCTCTCGACGAGTAAATCAGGCAGAACGTTTCCCGGCTAAGGTGCGATCGCAGCTGATTCGCGTCGCGCCTAATAGGGGCAAACACGTTTTCATTTCCACCACCGTCCTCGGCTCGCGGATTAGCGGAACCGGGATTGGATATTCATCGAATAACGATAATGGACAACGATAATTGTGCAAATGGTCCGTGTGGCCGATCGTGTATCGATTCATGATGATATTCGCGCGCTGCAATTACAACCGTGCCACTCCGACCATTTTCTCTCCTTTCAAATTTACGAAACGCGTGAATAATCGGGGAGGGGGTAAAATTACGTTCTTCTCCCTTCTTTCGTCTCACTTCAACCGACCTCGTTTTCCACTTGTCCATAAAAATCGAGATTTTTAATCCCCGTAACTCGCGTACGAAATATCCGTGCAACGAAAGTCAAAGTATAATTACTACGATATCGATAATAATATTAAAAAAGTAATTATGCCACGTCGTAGAACGCGTCCTCGACGAAGTTCAATCACGTGTAATTATATACGTGAATGCGACGTCTTCAACGACGTATTCGATAATCAATCCCGTTCGAATAAGAATGATAAGAATAGAGGATCGAAGGAAAGTGGAAGAATCACTGGGAAAAACTCGGGCGGGGTATTTTAATCCCGCCGACTTTACGCCGACATTCCGGCCGGCCGTAATTCAAGGGGAGCAGCAGTCCCGTGTGTCCTTGCGGCACGGTTGTTCACGCCATTATAGCTGGTACAATAATACGCGTGAATGGGCAAGTGGAAAGTGTTATCGATGGGAACCGGCATGGGCATTGTTTTATGGTTTGCCTCTAAACGGTCCATCCATCACGCTTTATCTTGATGGAGTATTCCGCCCCGCCTATTCATCCTTCAAAACACTTCCAGTTACCGCCACGCTAGCCCCGCTAATTATTAGCCCCTTTCTCGTTCATTGTGCCGACGCGGTGAATGGTCGTACACGAAGAATGCGCTTTTCGTCCACTCGAGACGCTCGATTTCCCTTCTCCACTCGTCGAACTCCTCGACGCGTACTTTCCTGCGTCTCTCGAAGCCTCGACGCTCCAATTACTCGGCTGGAAAGTAGTAGGAAAGCGCGGCTGTATCGCGCTTCCATCGATCGATCGCGCTTCCCATCGTCGCTTCTCTCGTCGGATTATCGACGTCGTCGGGACGACGACGTTTCGATAATCGTTGCGAGGCGAGGCGCGCTTCCTTCGGCGACCAGGATATTTTCGCTCCGCGTCTGTACCATCGGATCTCCGCTCGATTTAATTTAACGTTAAACTCTGGAAAGATGGGAAGGGAATTTGCATAAGAACTGCTCGCCCGAGGCGAGCGCGAAGGAGAGACTTCGTTAAAAGGGGATTTTACAATAATTTCTCCTCTCTCTCTCTCTCTCTCTCTCTCTCTCTCTCTCTCTCTCTCTCTCTCTCTC